TATGCCCTGAAGCTATGGAACTCCCTCCCTCAGTCCCTTCGCCTTGCCCCTCTATCCCCATTTTCAGGTTGCACTTGAGGACCTGCCTCTTCGACCATGACTATGGTCACCTTTCCCCCGCCCACTGGCTCAGCATCGGGCTCCGCAATTGTTAAGGGCTCTGGGATGCCGCCTGACGTGGAGGACGCTATGTAAATGCAACTTGTTGTTGTCTAAACAATGTATTCACAACAACAATAATAATAATAATAATAATAATCCTTGCATTTGATATAGCGCTTTTCACGTCTGGAGGACGTCCCAAAGCGCTTCACAGAACACACTGTAAAGTGAATTGACTGTATATTTGTGGGCGAACGCGGCAGCCAATTGCGCACAGCAATGTCCCACAAACAGTCGTAGATTGAAAATGACCAATTTATTATTGTTTTTGGTTTTGGAGGAATTATTATTAGGCGTGTGGAGTAAGGAAACTTGCCCAAGGTTTCGCCCTGCCTGGAATTGAACTCAGATCTCTCGCTTGCAAAGCAAGTGCTCTAACCACTGAGCTACAGGACTCCACTCCAATATACAAGCAAATGTTTCTACGTGGTAGTGATGTGTTGCCATGTTATAGGAACCTAGGACTGAGTGGATATACATTGTTGGGTAACCCATATGGCTTGGGGCAGAACCTGGACATGCATCCCAGTGTTTTGTTGAGATGGGGAGGACAAGTTTGCAGGGCTGTGGAGAGAGAGCGTGGGGGAGTGGGATTGATTTGGATAGCTCTTTTCAAAGAGCCAGCACAGCCACGATGGGCCGAATGGCCTCCTTCTGCGCTGTATAATTCTATGATTCTATGTTCTGTGCAAATAATCTACCAATACAATTTGAATCTATGATGATAAACTTTAACAATTGGAGATTCTGATTAAATGCTACAGCCATCCTGGCCAACAATCTCCCCCACATAAAATTGGCCATTGACTTCAACAACAACAACAGCAACAACTTGTATTTATAAAATACTTCATGGGTGCTTGACGGACACTGATGCGTGCAAATTGGATTCAACCACACACAGTCACCACACTTTGAGGTAAATCCTGTGAATTGCTTTGAGACATCTTGATGATTTGATAAAACACTACATCAAGTGCGAGCTTTACAATTTATTCCAGCACCATCCCACCTCCAGGAGAATTTGATTTGCATGTGAATTAGTGAGACTTCATGCCAAGGGAAGTGAAAAACAGAGAAGTGAATTTGAATGCACTTCAGTCATGCCTAGATTCATATTTTTTTTGTCGGCTCTATGATCTTTCTTACCTGTCGCTCTAGGCTTCATCGCATACTTGGAGACTGTTCCCTGCTGTGTCCACTGAGAGCAGACAAGCCTGTAGAGGTATCTCCCTTGGTTTTCCAAATACACAAGCCTGTGAGACATTGGGGAAATTATACTTCAAGTTAAAATTGCAGGATTAAAACACCAAAACTTTGACAGATGATTTTATTGGAGCCCCGAAGATACTGTACAAAGATACATGAAAACAAACAATATTTGTGCATGTCTTTATTAAGAATGTGGCTGTTTGTGAGACATTACTGTACACATTTGCCTACGAATACACAGTCAATCCACTGCACAATAAACCCTGCGATGTACTTTGAGACATCCTTCTGACGTGATAGCGCGCTATATCAAATGCAAGGATTATTATTATTATTAAGTCTAGCACATAATGCAAAGTCGAGCACATAATGCAGCTCTCATTGCATATTATTGCATAATATTATTATTATTATTGTTATTATTATGCAGGCCTAATTGTGTAACATATTGCTACTTAAATTGTCCCTTAAAATGATGCGTCTCATCCAGTAAGTTTCCGATCCCATGTCACTTTCACGCCTAACTCTCGCCAGTTGAGAGTGACACTGATTACACTCACAGGGAAGTGGAATCGCATGTGTCATGACAGGACAACGTGTTGCTGTGGGAACCTTTTTTTTAAAAAACTGCAGGGGAAAGCTATTTATTCTTTAAGTCAGTGCACTAATTCAGAAATTACAACATTTGGAAAATGGAACTGTCATCTGTGGCAGAGGACGTTATTAGATTCTGACGATGGATTTGAGACGTTGAATTTCCAATGGCAAGAGTGTAATCCATTGCTGTTGACTTTTACCCTAGGCTTCATAAACATTGCTATCATGACTTGTATGATATTTAAACTGAGGCTTACAAAGCTGCTGGCAATGTGTACTGAAAAGAGTTCCATTGCGGTTCTGACAAAGTTCACATTTTGGCATTAACAAGGGGAGTGATTTACAGCAGCCATTACTCGGATCACAGTGAACTTTAACCAAATGACGTTAAACCACATAAGCAAACCATACGGGTTTTGACTTCTCCGTAAAAAACAGATAGAACTTCTGCGGCAGCTTGTGATTACAGGGACATCATTTGTAACATAGGTGATGGATGTCAGTTAGGGAGAATGGAACATGGTTTGGACCGAGCGTTGTCTGTCATTCCCTGTTGCTATGACACAAGTGCCTGTGGAAATGCAAAGTAAAGGAAGTTACATTTCCTAGAATTTCCTATTTTCCCCATCGGTCATATCCAATATTATTCCTGAACACGTGGTTGGACAAGATGTATTCGTTCCCCCAAATGTTTCCCCAAATGATCTGCAAACGAGAAATATTAGTCCTATATATAAAGCACACATCACCTCATCTCAGTGGCCTGAAATTCCACCTGGTCTTGGACCGTAAGACTATTTTGTTTTGAAACTTAAGATATCGGTTGTGATTCATTTTAACTGATGGTTAAAAAAAAATTCAAATCCTTATTCTTCTATTGAAAATGACAGGAATTTGCTTTGGATGGGGCAGGATGGGGGCAGGAGAATGTGAAATTTGTTCTTGGTCCAGAGTTACTCTATTTTCTTTGCATATCAAAATATATAAACATTATATGATAGAAAACAGGCTTCAAAATTAACACTGTATTGAAGAATTTCTCATGGATCCTAAGAGAATCTAAATCCACGTAGAAGATCCACCCTTAGGCACTTTGAGACATCATCACAAGACCATGTCAAATTACGTACAAGTTTCGAACCTCATCTACAGAGACTGCAAACCGAACAAATCCAGCAAAACATTTTAAGTACAAAATAACTCAAGCCCAAATTTGATCAGAAAACAGAAAACAACCAAAGCGCACCAGGCCAAGCGAAGCTAGGTTTCGTGCTCTGACAATTCGGCACAAATTGCTTCGAGGCAACCTATTTCAAAACAAAAAAGATCAACATGGAAAGTGATCTGAAGCCGTACATGGGGAATATTTCTGTCTCGGAGTCAGATAAACATACACGACAAGATTAAATGTGTTATGTTCCTAAGGCTGTGAACTTCAAAATGAAATAGATAGACATCCTGCAGCACTTCTTGTGCAGGACGCAGCCTCCAGACATAAGCCCTTTGGTTGAATCATGTGTGCCACACTGTGGAATGCTCACAAAGTGCGTCATTGTGCGATGTGCATCGCCTGCTTTGTCGTGTATGGGTTACTGGTACAACAGTGAACGGGGCTGGAAAATGTAAAATAATGCAAGATAAAATATTTTTTGTTCTCTTGCCCCCCCATCCCCCGAAAAAAACGGAAATTTATAATGTCGAGCTGGTCACTTTCTGAATCTTATGCTTCATCAGTGAAGAGTGTGAATTTGTGTGACCACATTAATAACAGCCAGAAGCAGCCACAACAGTAACAAGTATATATTAATAATAATGACAATAATATTAATCCTTGCCCTTGATGTAGTGCCTTTTCACCTTCTCCGACGTGAAAGGCACGACATAAATAATAACTAATAATCCTTGCATTTGTTATAGCACTTTTCATGTCTTCGGAATGTCTCAAAGCGCTTCACAGAATATACTGTAAAGTGAATTGACTGTATATTTGTGGGCGAAACGCGGCACAGCAGTTGCGCACAGCAGCGTCCCACAAACAGTCGTGGATTGAGTGATTAAATTTTTATTGTTTTTTGCTGTAATGTGATTTGTTGTTGTTTTCATGGAAAATAAAACACCTCAGAAAACGTGTTACAAATTAAAACTCATTAGAAACGGAGGGTGTTGTTTCTAAACCTACAAAATTCACAGTCACTACACTTTACAAGGAACGCAGGACTGACCCAGAGACACTGAAGAGAAAATGCTTTTAATTCAGAAGTAATTGAATAAATCTGACTTTGTCTCATTATACGAAAGAGGCGATGACAGTAGCTTTGATCTTCCTAGTTTATTAAAGTGATTCATTATAACAGTAGGAGGACACACGAATGGATCAATTGAATTCTGTTCAGAGGGATGGACTTGCAAGGAAATCAATTTTGCTTTAGAAAACATCTCAAAGTGACATGCTTTCCTGAGCAGATATGCGGTGTATAAAAAATTATACACATGCAGTCTCGGTAGCATTGTCTCATTTTATATTAAATAAGGCAGAAACCGACTGTACCATAAGGATGCTGTTAATCTAAAATATTCTACTGAGTGTCAATAGTCCCAAACCCTAACCTGCCTCATGGCCAACCTCACATATACTGAGCTCCAAATGGATTTTGAGGCGCTTGTTCACAGTATTTCTGGGCTGGTAAGCACAGAATCTGATCTGTAATATTTCTGCCCCTTAAATGTGAGCTCTCTTTTCTGATTGATCGTCTAATAAGGCAGAGAGACGCAGTTCAGCGGGATTTTAAAAAATGCTGACCTGATAGAAATCAACCTAATCGTGAGGTTTAGCTGAGAGTAACATGCAGATAGCTTGTATTTGTTGTTCTATGACTTGTGTCTCTATGATAGCTATGACAGCAATGATGTAATAATAATAATAGTAATAGTAATCCATTTATTTCACATCATGCCGAAACATCTCAAAGAGCTTTACAGGTAATTACTGTACTGTCAGATGCAGTCACTGCTTTTCTTTTGTAGGCAAATACCACGACAACGATAAAGCACAATCCGATTCCTGAGGAGGACAGGCCGTGTTTCCGAGGGAGGAGGTAAGGTGATCATTTGTCTTTGTGTGTAAATAATCTTTGTCTCCAGTACAAATGGTGCGCAGTGTCTGTGTGAAGGCTGCACTGATGGCCAGCACAGTGTAGCTTTATGCTGCATCTCAGAGCCATTTTCAGCGTCTTTTTCTTTCCACTTTCTTTTTGCCTTTTGATCTGTCGGCGCGGTGGTCAAGAAGCCGACTGCGATGGCTTCTGAGCTGAGAGCAGATGTAAAGGACCGACTGGAGAGAAAGAATCGAAGAGCCAGGGAAGCCAGAGCAGCTAAACCTGGAGATGTCTTCCTCAAACAGCCGGGCTGAGACTTCAAAGAAGCGATTGCTCCTTCAACTAATCTGGCATTCCGAGCATAGAGCAGAATGAAGAAAGACTATCCAAATGCATTTGAACCAGGTTGAGATTTTGGGGGCTGTTCTCTGTCACATCTAATCCTTTGCTTTGATTAAATGCAGAGTGACTCTTCCTATTTGCACTTGAAAGACAGTGGTGTTGTGTAGCTCAGTGGATAATAGCACACTTTACTGTGTTCTACCTGCCTGTACCCTCCGTTCCTCCGGCTCCGGTTTGCTCCACATCCCCCGCCCCAACCGCCCTACCATCGGTGGCCGGGCCTTCAGCCTCTCAGCCCCGAGGCTCTGGAACTCTATCCCCCAGTGCCTTCGCCGCTTCCTCCCTTTCCTCCTTCAAGGCCGGTCTCAAGATCTTTCTCTTTGACCGTGCCTTCAGCTCCCCTCTCGACTCTCTACCCCCTCCTCGCTCCCTCCCCTCCCCCTGACCATTTCCCCCCTCCTCGCTCCCTCCTTTCCCTCCCCTCACCCTGACCATTTCCCCCCTGCTCGGGTCCTGACCCAACTGTACAGCGCCTCGGGACGTCCTCCCGACGTGAAAGGCGCTCTATAAATGGAATCTTGTTGTTGTTGTTGTTGTTGTTCTTATATAGTCTCCTTAACTATTACCACACAGCACATGTTTAAATTCAAAATGGCTCTGTTAATTCCAAGCACACTTACCCTCCATTGATGATACAGTTGATTCAATCACTGACCGGTGGACATTAATTCCTGGTGAGGAAAATCAGGTTGCTGAAAGCTTTCTAAACTGGAAGCTTACGCCAAACGAAACAAAGTAATAGACGCCTGACAACCAGCTTTATACTCCTACCTCTCGTCTCGTCAGGAAAAACAAAATGTGTGAGTCACGCATTAGTAAATGTCATTGGGGTTCAAGGCGGAATTGGACACCTTTGAGCAGAATAATAATAATAATAATCCTTTGTAGAGTGTTATCACGTCTTCGAGACATCTCAAAGCGCTTCACGGAATATACTGTAAAGTGAATTGACTATATTTTGCGGGAGAAGTGAAGACCTGGGTCTCGCTTATGCTTTAATTCGTTTTTTTCTCTTGATCAAATACACAGTCTGGCTCAGGCGTTGGTACTCTCACCTCTGTGTCAGAAGGTTGTGTCGGGACTTTGAACGCACAGTCTCGGCTAACGCTCCACTGCACTGCATTGTCGGAGGTGCCATTCTTCGGATGAACTGAGGTCCCTCAGCTGCTCATTCAAGTGGATGTTAGAGATCCCACGGGCACTATTCAAAAAGTGAAGTGAGTTTCTCTCCCCCAGTGACCTTCTGAAGCTCACGTGCTTCCAAATTATTCATCTTCTTACACTATATCTGCCATTACCGTGGAATAGGAATCTATTTGGCTGCACACCTTATGCGGTTAAGTGTTCAGGTTCCAATTCATGCATTAGAAGAGCTCAGTCCATTCTCCATTTTTTTTTAAAAAAAATCCCTCTATGAATTTAAACAAGTATTGATTAGGAGCCAAGGTACACAAAAACAAACAGCTTCTTTTCCTCCTTTCTGATGCCATCTTGATGCCATCCGCCCTTTTATTAGACTCTGTCTGTCGTATTTTACTGAGATGAAAGTTCATTAATCAAAGGATGGAAATGTGAGGGCTCTTTTCTTTCCTGTCTTTTTTGTTATCAAAAATTCAGTTGCCTCCTTTTTTTGTCTGAAAGATTAATTCTGTGCAAAGCTTTTCAGTAGGTGGGCTGACCTCGAAATGTAAAAGGCTTAAAAGAAAAAGGCTTTAAGTTCCGTGCCGAGCATTAGTTAAGTTAACAAAAATTGCTTAACTAATTTGGGGAGTTAATGGGAAAACAAGTGTCAACAAATGCCACGTTCATTCACAAAGCGAATGTAACATTTGTTAGTAACATTAGTGGCTCCGCAGTAAATCCTGTGAGGCGCTTTGGAACGTCCTCCTGACTTGAAAGGCGCTGTACCAAATGCCAAGATTATTATTATTATTAAATTTCTTTAGATCACTCATCTCCAGCTCATTAAATATCATACAAATCTTTAGTCACTGGGATCACTGGCAGAATTCACCCAGTGCCTAGCTTCCAGTCATCTGTTTCCCCTTTTATTTGCACCAAACTACATACCTGTGGCCACCAAAATAATGTCTCTCCAGCTCATCACCACCACAGCCAGGGCTAGTTGACCTGCAATAGATACGTAACAAGTATTAGAAAGTTTTTGTTTTGTTAAAGCATATGTAGAGTTTAAATGGTATTGCTTGTTCTTTTCTTCTCCTGCACAGCCCTTTGCGTTGGCAGCTTATGGTTAACTATCTGTTTGAAAAGGAAGATAAGCTAAGCCATGTCAGTGCAGGATCTAACGACATCTGATGACGTTCAAGAGATTGGAAACAAACATCGACTAGGTTGAAATGGTACAGCTAAGCCAATGATCTACTTTCATTGTCACTGATGTAACCACAAGCTTGCCGTACGTTCAATTTCTGCTCTATTATCTAGCAGATCCGGGCTCCCCTGTGTATATTTCTTTATATCTCTTTAACTGGTATATATAATGTGGGCTTTTAATCCAGATACTTGCTCTACCTACAGACATTTTCCGACGTGCAATGATTGATACATCGCCACATGTTTTCCACCCATTTTATTAAAGGCAAAGACATCCAACAATATGCCTCAAAGTCATTGCCAGGTGTGGAGCGAGATACGGCTGACTACACCATGACATCCTTAAGTGACATCTGTTTGGCAAAGTTTTGAAACTTGAATTTAAAAAAAATACACTTTAGTAAAATGTTATACTGTAACCAGAAGCCAATGTGAGAAACGTATACCTACGATTCTCAGAACCAAATCCAATTTGGTGTTAATGCTGCTTCCTTCCTTTATTTCTTCTCTTAATTAACAAGATTTTAATATCTTTTTATATTACAATTCATACGCAAGCATTGTTTTAACCTGGTTTAGGTAAGACATTAAATCAAGGTCCCGGTGGATGTTAAAATCCTGTTATACTATTTGAGTAGAGAAGGTAGTTTCTCCCAGTGTTCTGACCAGCAGTCATCCAGGTAAAAAAAATAGATCATTCACTTGTGAGACATTTCTGCGTGCAAATTGGTTGCCAGGCTCATCTACGAAATCCACAGTCAATACACTTTGAGATGTTTGGCTTCATAAGGCCCCATAACAAAGGCGAGGATTATTATTTGTCATTCCTGTTAACGTACAGAAGTGATGCAGATACGTTTCTCAGAGGACTTCGGCAATGAAGAGTGAGAATGATCTGTCACCACTTTGGGTGCCCTTGGTGCACACTTCCTGTCCTCTGCATACATAATTGATCATTACAAAGGTCCAGCTGTCCATTATAGACAGCGCTGACTGTATGGCAAGAGGCATACATCCTATTTCTGCAATGATTTACTGTCAGCGTTGGCTCAGGGAATATAGTGCGTTCGGGGAACTGAGGAACGAGTTGTTTAATATTTACATTAAACCAGACTTTGTGAAAGACTTTAAATATTATTATTTTGATCTCTAATTTCTAAAGTGATCGCTCCTCAATACAAAGCTAGTGGTTGCTTCTATTTAATAGATAGTGAGCACAATGAAGATGTGGTTTGATCATACGGAGTTCTGAACAACATATAAATCAGGACTCACGGTTCGCAGAGGTGATGTGAATCAACTACCCAGAGGCGAATAAAAATAATGTATAACGGGTCAGCAGTTCTGCTTGTGATCATTAATTAACCTCTTGGTTGCGTGTACTGTGTTATAGATTCGACATGGACCTTAAAGTGGAATGCTCATATTTTAATACAAAATTACTCCTGAGGTTTTAAAACCGTACAAAAAGTTACTTTCCTAACTACTTAAAATGCACAATCACTACACTTTTCAGTAAGTGTTTGGCGATGCCCTCCGGATGTGAAACGCGTTATATCTAATGCAAAGATTATCATTAATATTATAGCTAGTTACTTCTTTCTGAAGATGGACTGATAGTGAAAGGGGGATTTAGAGGGAATGTTTTCACCCATAAAGTAGTTGGGGTGTGGAACGGCCTGCTGAGCAGTGTACCTTTCAAGAGAGAAGTAGAGAGTCCATATGATAGAGAGGGACTTGACAGGGAGGTCAGAGTAAAACAACATCCTTGCTCTGTGAGCCAGTGCAGACTCGATGGGCTGAATGGCCTCCTTCTGCACTGTATTTCTATGTTTTTAAAAACGTCATTTGCTCTGCGACCCCTCTGGGAGACCCATGTTTATAGCAAAGTCTAATCGCTCCACAGGCCCGAATTCCATGAAACATTCAGACACTCAAATCCACACTGTTTCTCCTTTTCATTCCACACCCAACAGCCACTTATTAACACTGGACTGAATTAACTGGTGGCACAGAAAATGACTGCAGAATATTAACAAAACAAACAGACATGGGCTACAAATATGCCTTTGTGCAGTTAAAACGAAATCAGCACCATGGTCACATATAAAAGATCCATGGGGTGAATAAATATTTCAGTACAATTGAAAGGAAACCAGGAAAATTATCTGTAATCATGCCCTGAGAGTGTCTCCTATGCTCTAATATTTTCTATTAGAGCTTCACATTTCAAGCAAAGCCCTTTTTTTTGAGATCCAGAAAACCCAATTGAGCGTGGCGTACTTAGGTCTTGGTTTATCTGCTCATGAAATAAATGTCTCGACTTCATCTCATACTCCCATTTTGTACGTATATTAGACTTGCTGAAAGAAAACGGTTCGATAAATCACAAAAAGCTTTATTTCCTTATTCCAGCAATGGCTATGGAATTAAGGTCATAAATGGCTGAACAAACCCCTCCCAAAATGTTTTCAAAAATCTATAAAGCTGTTGCTCGATGGCGG